GCGTCCAGGAGAGCAGAAGGATGGAAGCAGAGTCCCAGAGCGAAAATGCGACCAGCAGGGGCTAGGAAAGCGAGCTGGGGACCAAGGAGCGATCTGGACAGGCAGGGGTGGACGTCTGAGGCAGCTAGAGCGCAGGGCTCATAACCTGTTAGCTGCAGTGGGCCTCAGAGGGGTCACAATGGCCTAAGTCGAGCTCTGTAAGTCTTTCATTGCAAGAAAACTGTGCTACACACCTAAGTCGAGCTCTGTAAGTCTTAAGGACTGCAGAGTCGACTCAGGCGCAGATGACGGCGCACAGAGCGCGTGGGAACTAGCTAACACGACCATACACTAAGTGGCGCTGGAATGGCGCCAAACGGACCAGAAGTGCGTAAGGTAGACACTATTCTAGAGTGCAGTCAGATCTACAGTAATGGAGACTACTAGTGAAAGAGATGTGATATCTCTATGTGAACGAGAGTTGTGACTATACGAAAATTACCGTAGATAGCGGACAGCGCGAACTATGTATGGCGCGATGCGGGACTTGGTGCGATTAAAACCGCAGGCGCTACAGCACCGACTCCAACAATTGGATAGCGATGATGAAGATGTATCTGTATTGTAGTTACAGTCATGCATACTCAGTTGCTACAAGCCCGGGCTTGAGCCTGACCCGACCCAGGCCCAGCCTGAACCTGCCACTAGGGTCCAGCTAGTGTTGCCGCCAAGCTGAGCCGGCTTATCCAGCTAACTCAGCTTGCCAACTAGACACCCAGCTTGTTGCAACAAGCCAAGCTGAGCCGGAGCGCCGAAAATCCAGTTGATGGTCAGCTCGTTTCCCAGCCAGCTGTCGAGCTAGCTCAGTTAGTGATGTCATACCTACCGGATTTGGTATATCATTGGTACCGCCACAGCTCACGAGACCAGGCTGGTGAGCCTTCGGGGACAGACTCAGCTGTGTTTACTAGATCTCATGCCTCTCCGAGTTGCAGTATTGTATCGGGAGCTATGTAATGTTCATAGGCTTTTGGAGCAATATAATGTTCTGTGGGAACTGTTGGACACCTCTCAGCCATGCCTTGAATAGCACACTGACAGTTGCGACTTTTCTCTCCAAACCTATACAGTAACAGGTTGCATTCTGTCTTATATACCACAGGTCAAACATTTGTGCCGAGGGTTGAACAATTTGAATAGGTGTTTTACTGGTGTAGACAAATTACCCACTTCACTCTACATGTCTAGATCATTGTTCACTGGCACCAATGATCAATCTGGCACACTGGAGCATTGTTCTTTTTTGGTGTGTGGGGCTTTGCAGACATATTAAGCCGTTTCTGTCCATTTTGGGGGAGAAATATTGAAGCAACAGACATTTGCTTCCATATCTCATGCATGTATATGTGTAGTACTACAGGAACTGTGATGCTCGCTTTATGGTGTTCATCGCATGCAACGTCTTGCCGTATCTGGAATGTGAGCTTGCAAGTCAAGCCGTGGCTGGGGCCTGGCCAGGGAGTTGGCGCTCAGCTGGCCAGATCTCGGCTTAGCTTCCAGCTTGATGATCCAGCTCGATCCAGCGCGTCAGCTTGGTGGCAGTTCATTGAGCCCGAGCCCTCCAAAGCCCAGCCCTAGCCCAGGGTTTTGAGCCCGACCCGGCCCGGCACAACACTAGGGCCGGCATGTGTCCGAGATTGTCATCGCACCACATCCAGTGTCTGCTCTCGGTGCTGGCGATGCCTATGCAAGCCGGGGTCCAGCGATGGGCAAAGAGCTCCATGAGCGATGGTTTGTTGGATATGAAAGATGTGGAGAGGAAGGAACGTGAAGGGATGATGGGCGCGCGGTGAGTAGTTCTTTCAGTCTTGGCTTCCCACCTGGCTGGGAGAAAGCAGTTATGCTGATGGGTGTGTGGTACCAGGTGGGGGAGCCTTCGGAGACGATCTATGCATCCGCGGACAAGGGAGGAAGTTGCGCACGGACAAGTTTTGTGCGGGATCTCGAATGATTGCAATGGATTGTATAGTAGCGTTGATTGAAAGCTTGCTCTCGCGAACCTGTAAAGTCAGTGGGGACCCGGACCTCGAAACATGCACCTAGAGCGGTTTACAGCTCGAGACACGCCCCTAGTGCTCTCTACAGCCCCAAACAAGTCCCTGTAGCTCTTTACAGCCCAAAACACGGCCTACGCCAGCATTTATCCATGTGACAATCTCACTTCGGTCGAGTCCACGCAGCGCCCACCAGCCGTCGATCGCGACGGGCAGGCGGACAGAGGCGCGGAGGGCAGGCGGATCTATAGGGCGGAGGGCGTACATGGCGAGAGACAAAGACTGCGACAGGGACTGAGTCGAAGCCAGACGGAGAGCAGCCGCCGCTCAAACCGCAAAATACGGAGGGATCGGCATTGTATCGCGCATGGACATTAATATTAGTCTGCTCACGTAGCTGTATATCTATTACAATGCAAAAAACCCTCAGCGCCACATTTCCATCAAATATGCCAGGTACATGTGGTCAATACAATGCTCATGACGGCATCATGCTCCGTCTTCGCCGTGCCATCTCAAGCGGGGGCAACGACTCCTCATTCACTACTCCTGCTCCAACTGGTATCGGTAGCACCTGCAGGATGCTTTCACCGCCGTCATCCACAGCCGTAGCTATACGAATGAAGCACGCGTACATTTTCAGCAGACGGACTTAGCCAGGCCAGGGAGAAATGCACTTACGCGAGGAGACTTCCAGCGACCGAGAAGCTGCGCCCAGACTGGTGTTCAGCACGTTGTCGATGCGCGAGGAGTCAGACGACGCGGGCGATGTTGCAATCTTGTTCGCCATCGGCGAGTAGGTCTTGGGTATAACCGACTTGCGTCGCTGTCGGTGCCACCTTCGTGTCAGCTTTTATCGCATGTAGGGATACATGGGGCAAGCGCACCTTGTTCACGCCGGCGACATTCGCCAAGTTGAGATTAACCGGAAATTGCGTCTCCTCGACCCTTCGACGCTGCTCGGCACACGCGACGACCCAACCGATGCCCACGACGTGTGGCTTAGGATCGCTCAGCATCCTAGAGCACGTCATTGTTAGCTGCGCATCCACCAATAAGAAAAAGAACTTGAACGCACCTATAACCCTTGAGCGTGCTCATCAGCCCGTTCTTGAAGACGACATGGGTGCACCGCGAGCCGACTCGAGCCGCAATCTACCCACACCCGTCCGTCAGCAGCCCACACCAATCACATCAATGCTCGCTACGAGCACCCACCTTCGCCCCCATGTTCCTCAGCATGTCAACAAACAACGAACCAGCGTCGTCACCCTCCTCACTCCGTACATCCACGAATATCCTACAGTCTTTGAGGACAGATAGTACAGCCGGGCTACCCGCGCCCGTCTCCGCCTTCGCCTTGTCCTTGCTTTTCCCGTCCGCGGTCCCACCCGAAGCGTGTTCCGTATCTCCGAGTCCGCTGCCGCCAGCCGCAGCGGACCGAAGAGATGGTTCCTTGTACGCATTCGGCGGCGTCGACAGTGCGCCAGTCGCAAGTCTTGTCGCGTGCGCTCGCCGTGGAGGAGGGGTCGGCACAGCGTCCTTCTCCCCCTCTCCCTCACCCCGCGGATGTTCAGCGGCGGCCGAAGACGTAGACGGGTAGGAGCTGCTGACCGCCCTCCCCTTCCCCTTGGGATCCTCCCCTTGAAGAAGCGTAGGCGACGTTGCGCTGGGGAGCGCAGACAAGCTCTGCGTGAGCAAGTGGCTGGCCATGCTGGCCCGCCGACTCGCGTTCCGCCTCGCCTCTCTCTCCTTCTCGCGTTCCTCCTTCTCCCTCGCGCGGGCTTCCGGATCCGCAGGACCTGATCCAAGCTCCCCGAACTCGAGCGCCCCAAGCGACTTCGCCGCAGGGCCTGCGTCCTCGTCGTCCCCGTCCGAGCCGTGGCCGAGGTCGCGGAGGACGTCCTTGTCCGCATGCTTCAACCAGTCGTCGATCTTGTCCTTCGTCGTCAGCTCCTCGACGCCCTCCATCCCTTCCTGCACCTCGCTCACGATCCTCTCCTCGCCCTCGTCCACGAGCGCCGTATCCCCTCCCGTGCCGCTGCCTTTGACGGGACTGCCGACGACGACAGGTAGCGAGCTGACCTTGCTCGCACGTTGTACGACCCTGCCTCCTCCACCACGTCCCCTAAACGGACCCAAGCCGAAACCACCTCGGACACCAACACTAGCGCCGCCCGGCCTCCCGACGCCAAACACGGGCTTCGGGAGCGACCCCAGCGCACGGCTTCCCGACCTCGCGGCAAGGAACGTTCTCTTCGTCGTCGCGCCCGTCGCAGCAGCAGCCGGACGCGCGATCCCTGACGAGCTTGACCCCGGGGTCGCGGTTGACGAAAGCACGCCCGAAGAGGCCTGGCTAGGGGTCGCAGCTGCGAGCCCAGCGCAGACCTTACCCAAGCTTGGGGCGAGCGCGAGCGTCGCCTGCCGCATCCTCTCCAGCTCCCTCGGCGTCTTCCCCTCGCTGGGGGCGGCGTTAAGTGTTCCCCCGTTAACCGCAGTCGAAGTCGAAGCTCTGGGCGTGTTTGGGCCCGATACCGCAGCTCGAGCTGCAGCAGCAGATCTCAGCCGTGTCGTGCGCGTGCCTGCGGCAGGGATGGGTGGGGGCAGCATGAGCGTCGTCTGCCTGAGCTTCGTCTGCCCGTTCACAACGGCCGCCTGTCTCCCGGCCACAGGCTTCAGCGTCGCAGCCACCTTTCCCTTGCCCTTCGCGCCCGTGGTCGGAAGCGCGTTCATCGACATGGAGGTGCTAGGTCGTGGCCGTTCCGCCACTGTGCTCTTTGGTTTCGCGCTCTTGCCTCTCGCCGGGTCATCGCTGGACCCGGGGGCGCTGGAGAGCGAACTGTCGCCATCGGACGACAACGAGCGGTGAAAGCCAAGGCTCGTGTTGGGCCGCGAAGGTGCCGGTGCGTTCAGTCGTTCGAGTGCCTGGTTCAGCGTCGACAGACTCGAGTTGAGCGGCGTGGGCTGCGAGAGAGGGGGTCGCCTCGGAACAGATAATCCAGCGTGCCGTTCCGTATGTTCAGGCCGCTGCTCGTCGCTCGCCGACCTCTGCTCCGCGGCCGACGAGTCGTCCAACTCTGAGAGCTCCGAGAGTTCTGACTCCTCTGACAGCTGCCCGGGCGGTTCTGGAGGGAACATGGTCGTATCTTCATCCCCATCCACGACAGCGTCAGCCTCTGCGTCGATCGTCGACACCGGCTGCGCTGCAATCTGGTTGTTGACGTCTTCCGTCGGCGCACCTCCGGCCGCCAGCTCAAAGCCAGACTTCACTAAATGCCCACAAAGAGCGGAACCCAGTCGGCGGGGATCGTCTAAGACAGTCGTGTCATGTCGATCAGAGTCAATGCGACCGTGCGTCCTCCCTTGCGTCGGCGTCGGCACATCGGCGTCGTCCAGCTCCGCCTCTTCCACTTGCGACCCCACCTCGTCCCCTACCGCAAACCCATCCGTCGCCCGCTCCACATAAGCCGGCCCCCGCGCGGGGATCTGAGCCCGCGTGAACAGCGCAGGCCCGACGCTCTTCGCGCGTTCCCTGCCCTTCCCCTTCGGATCCACGCCCGCGACCGGGGTCTGAGCCCGTCCGCCCTTGCTTCCGTTGACAGGCCTCGCCACTTCGCGCGGCGCAGGCGTCTTCGGCGCTGGGTCAGGTAGAGACTTGAAGTCGAACGGCCCCGCCGGTTTCGCCCTGCCTCCCTCCTGCGGGGCGCCCGCGGTGGAGTGGGGTGTGGACGCAGAGGGCGGCCGGGAGCTTGCGCGCGCAGGGAGGGACGGCTTCGCGGGCGAGGCCTTGGCGGCGGAGCTGCTCGTGGGCTGGGCGTACGACATGGAGCGCGAGCGGCGGCGATGCGCGGGCGGAGAGGAGGGCTCGTCTCTCAGCGGTTGCGTGATATCTTGGTAGGAGTGTGGCATCTGGAAGGGATGAGGGATCTGGGATGGGAGCGCACGGGAAGTCTTTGGATGGGATAGCAGGGACGGTCGAGGTTCAGGGCGCTGTGCAGGTGTAGATTGAGTGTTGGGGAGTTGTGGACTAGGCCGCGGACTCGACACTGCAAACACGCGAGCGGCGCGGAAGTCAGCATAGTAGAACGCGAGGCGATCGCGCGAAGGGAACGCCTGCGTCTCGACAGCGGGCGGAAAGAAGGAGACGTACGTATGTCAGCAAACGCATCCTGGATCTCGTCCTCGGCCTGCTCGTCTCCCTTGTCCTCGGACGCGGCCAGACTCTTCGCTCTCTGGCTCCTGGTGTTCCTCGGATTCCTGATCTGCGGCGGACCGAGAGTAGACGGCTTCTTGTTCCTCGGATTCTTCACCTTCTTGGCTGGAGGCGCGTCGTCGACAAGGAGCTTGCCCCTGGGCTTCATCCGGGCTTTCACGCCGGCCGACTTTGGGCGAGGAAGCATGCTTTCCCTGGGCGCAGGCTTTGGAGCTTGGGTGGGCGCAGGAGGGTTGGAGGGACCTGCGACGGGGACGGAGACGGAGTTGGGTATGGGGACCGGAGTAGCATCGAGGTCAAGGGTAGAGTCTGCGTGCAGAGAACGGTCAATAGGCAATGGAGTGAGAGGAGACATGGGGGTCATGAAAGGCGCAAGGCCGGTCGTTGGATTGGTGTGGGGTAGAGGCGTGGTGTGGTCGAAGGAGAGAACGGGAAGGGTAGGAAATGGTGGAGAAGGGACGGAGCGGGGAAAGGTAGAAAGATGTACATCGGCATCAGACGACTCTGCACGTTTCTTTGGGGATTCTGGAGGGACGGAGGCGATGCGAAACTTTGCGGGGGATCGACGGGGAGAGGGAGGGACGTTGTTGAGATCGAGCAGAGGGATGGGCGCGTTTGCAGCGGCGGGGGGCACGGACTTTGCGCGGCGGTCTGGGGAGTCGTGTGCACGGGAAGACGGGAAGAGAGCGTCGTGGCGGAGGCGCTTGAGGTCGGGTATGCCGACGAGGGCAGCATCCTTGGCGGGCGAAGACGGCCTCTTGAGGACGTTGTCGAGGTGGGGCGGGGTGGTGCTGTCTTTGTCCGAGTCGGACGGCGGGGTCGGGGCGGGGTGCTTGAGGGCGATGCGGGCCTGCTTGAGGGGCGAGGCGGCGAGGTCGATGCGGGTGAAGAAGCCGTCGAGGGTGGACTGGGAGCGGGTGCGTGTGGCGTGCTCCGTGGGCGGGTTTGCCATCGAGAGCGGCGGCGATGAAGGACGTCGGGGCGATGTTGAGACTCTGAGCCCCGCCGCGACGCGTGTGGTTCTGTTGGCAGGCAGCCCACGTGACACGCGCCTCCGTGGGCGGGAGTGGCGCGCTTGTCCTTGTCGCAAACGTCCACCACTGCGTTACCTGTCTCCTGACCTGCTTGCCTTGCTATATGTCAACACGAAAACCTGCGCCCCGCTTGCCCCGTCCGGTTGCACGATACTGGAAAGGGAAGGCTCCCAAAGGCGCTGACGCCGCCCAATCCGAGTCCGATGAGGACGAAGTGGCCGAGGAGCAGCAGGCAGAGGACGAGGGTGACGTGCTCATCCGGGATGTGGAAGTCGGAGACGGGGAGGGGGAGGAAGAGGACGGGCTGGAGGTGCGGCGGGCGGTTGAGAGGCAGGCCAAGGGCACGATCAGCGTCGCGCTGAGGGACGTGAACGTCTCCAAAGAGGGCAAAGTCATCGTGGGCGGGAAGGAGGAGTCTGGGCGTACGGCTGCTGAACTGGAGGAAGGTGCGTGTTCTGTTTCAGCTACTCTGTATGGGCCGGCCGTTCCAATCGTATGTCCGCCAGAGGAGGAAGAAGAGGAGGAAGAGGAAGAAGCCGCTGAGGAGGAGGAGGAGGAAGAAGAGGAAGAAGTAAGGCCTCTCTGGTCCATCCACCCCTGTATAACTCACGTCTCACGTAGTCTAGCGAGGAGGAGTCTGCATCAGAGCAAGAGCAGCCAAATCTCCAGTTCCGTCCAGTCTTCGTGCCAAAGTACGTCGTTTGCTATCCAAGTACCCCGCATATGCGTCCTCACCCCGGATGCAATACGTGCAGACGCGCACGTGCTACTGTCGCTGAAAGGGAGGCTCTCGCTGAGGACTCGGAAGAGGCGCAGAAACGCAAAGAAGCGGAGGCGGAAGAGCGCAAGAAGGCGAGCCACGACATGGTGGCGGAGACCATTCGTCGCGAGTTGCTCGAGAGTGCGTATCGCTTATTCATTCTTCCTCATCTATCTCATCGGCTTACCTCTGCCGATACAGAGGAGAAGGAACAGGAGACCCCGGACGTTGATGACACAGACGGGATCGACCCCGCCGGGGAGTTCGAAGCCTGGCGGCTGCGCGAGCTTGCCCGCATCAAGCGCGACAAGGAAGCGGAGCTCGCGCGTGAAAGGGAACGCGAAGAAATCGAACGACGGCGCGCTTTGCCCGAGGAGCAACGGCTGAAGGAGGACATGGAGCGGGCGGAGCAGTCGCGCAAGGAGAAGCCGAAAGGCCAGCAGAAGTTCCTACAGAAGTACTGGCACAAGGGCGCGTTCCACCAAGACGAAGAGATCCTCAGAAAGCACGATTACACGGAGGCGACCGAGAGCACGGTGGACGTGTCGCTGTTGCCGAAGGTGATGCAAGTGAAGAACTTTGGAAAGCGTGGGCGGACGAAGTACACGCACTTGCTGGATCAGGACACTACGGTAGGGAGTGGTGGATTCGGAGGGACCGCGCCTGTGAAGGCTGGTGGGACGTCCACCAGTGCCGGCGGCTGCTTCCTCTGTGGTGGACCACATCTCAAGAAAGGTGTGTGCTCTGCTTACAGGTTCATTGGATGCGCACCTACCTGAACTGCCAGACTGTCCACAAAATGCCGACCTGCCTCCCGGGAGGACGGCTACAGGTGCCAACGGCGCACCGACCGGAGCGAGCTCACGACAGTGGGGTGCGCGTCACGGAGACAGGGATGGGCCCCGTGGTTCGTGGCGTGACCGCGACGAAGACCGGCGACCGAGCGGGGACAGCAGAGACCGACGGAGAGACGAGAAAGGAGCACGCGACCGGGACCGGTATCAGCGCGACGATGACGGCGAAAGGGCACGATATGACCGCCACCGTGGGGATAGGCGCGATGACGGCGATCGCGTCTGGAGACGACACTCGAGGTCGCGCTCGCCGACTCGCGAGGGCCGGAGGAGATCTAGGGAGCGATCGGTTGACCTGGGGCGGGGCGAGAAGCGGAGGAGAGTGGACTAGCTCAGGGGGACCCACCTCTGTAGTTTGGCGGACTGTTTTTGTTCTTCGTTCTGACCATCTAATGCAGGTGCATGGAATTCAACCAAAGCCGTGAGCTCCAGTGGCCGTCTATCTTGCCTCATAGGCTGCGCTGCTAACCTCGACGGTAGACCACACAACTGAGCTGCGAGGCAGTGGCCCCCGTCTGAATAACCTCCTCGTTTGGCGGTTGAAGACGTTGTGCACCTGCGTCACACTCTCTCGTCTTCTTTCTCGATGACTGCCCCAGATCGACGCCATGACATCAGCCTCTGAGAGCACTTATAAGGTCCGTCGCAGTCTGTGTTCGCCATGTACGCCCTCCGCACCTGCGTCCGCCCAGTGTCCCGCATCTCACCCCGAGCCATGGCCTCCCTGCCCACCGACGCCGCCCTCCCCGGCGAGCACTTCGAGGTCCGCCAGTCCGCCCCCGACGACGACTACAAGCCCGACCCGTCCAAGTCCATCAAGCTCTCCCCTGCCCGCCAGGCTCTCGTAGACGACATCCTCGCCCTCTACTCGTGCCAGCCCACCCGCCGACGCGTCGAGCGCTACTCCCCCGACTGCGTCTACGACGACCAGTTCGTCTACGCCAACGACCGCTACAAGATGGCCGGCCAGTGGTTCGCCCTCCCCAAGCTCTTCGCCAGCAGCACCAACGAGAGCTACCAGGTCGTCACCAACGATCCTCTCCTCATCCAGTTCAAGAACGAGCAGGTCCGTCATCACGTCTCCACCTGCCCACCCGCCTTGCACTCACCCAACCGCAGACCTGGACCTTCCCCAAGAACATCAAGTCGACCACCATCAACGCCATCGTCTCCCTCTCTCTCGACCCGTCCACCGTCGACTCGGACTTTATCCAGGTCAAGTACCACAAGGACCAGGCGAACGGCAAGGACTACTCGCACACCGGCCCCGGCTTCGCCTTCAAGAAATGGCAGGCCGACAAGGTCTCGGGCATGATGGAGTCGGACGACGTCCAGTTCTTCAAGAAGGACGCCCGCGACGAATACCGCGAGCCCGTCCGCAAGTACGACAGCGGTACTGCCGAGGCTCCAGAGAAGAAGCTGTGAAGACGTCGCACCATGTACGAGTAGAATGTTGTAGCCCAAGGATCCCCAATGAACTTTGTCGACTCGTGTGTTCGCACTAGCAGCAAAGACGTCTCTTTGTTCATACACGTATCACAGCAGAGCTACAGCAAGAAAACCAAGAAAGTACGCAATACAACAATATCCTTAGCATGATACACACCGCGAAATGAGGCTTACAGACAGTCCATGACGTCCGTTCAACGACTGAAAGCATGACCCCGTCTCTCCACGACAGGCGACATACCGGCTGGCGAAGACGGAAGGACTTGGAATCCCACCTGAGAAAGCCGCGATACGCACGCATTGAACAATCCGCGCAGGGGACCATGACCAGAGAGCCACTCACCCCGATGTGCTTCATGAAGCGATTGATGTAATCTTCTCGTGAGCCCTCCAGACCCGCATTCGCCCAGCTCGATGCCTCGCCATCCTCCGCCCCGCCGCTCCCCGTGCGCCCCTCATTTCTTGACCCTCGCCCGCCTCCGGATCCCCTTCCTCCCTTCGCGTTCGAATTGGCGCCTCGCCCTGCACCGCGCCCGCTCCCAGCGCCCGCCGCAGCCGCACCTTGCGTCCCACCCTCACCCGCGCGTTCGTCCCCCTGCACGAGCCCATACTCCCTCACAAGCGTCCGCGCGTGCGCCTCGCTGAGGCTAACGAGTGTCGCGACGTTGCGCGGGAAGAACGGCGACGGCGTCGGCGGCGCGATGTCCCACCCGGGCGCGATGCCCAAGTCGACGGGCGCTGCCGTAGGCGGGTTCGGGGAAGCAGCGGTGGCGCCTGCCCCCGTCCGCGCTGACGACGCGGACGTGTCGACCTCCAGCCGCTTGCGCGTCGTATCGCCGCCGCCTGGACGCGCGCCGCGCGAGCTCGAGCCCGTGCTGGTCCCGACGGTCGCAGCGGTCGACGAAGCGCCGCCGCGCGGCGTGTTCTCGTCCTTGCCTTTCGTCTTGTTGTCCTGCTTTTGCTTGGCCTTCTCCTTCCCCCTCTCCTTGTCCTTGTCCTCCTCCTTGTCCGGCCTCCCGTCCGCGTCTGCGCTACGGTCTGCGTCCGCGTCCGCGTCGGTACCAGGTTCGGCGCCGACCGCGCCGAGCGAACGGAGGAGCGGACGGAGGGGCTCGTGCAGCCCCGAGGAGCGGATGAGCGCATTGTGTCGCCGCGCCTCACTGCATGTTCATCCGCGAAGGTTGCGCCCATCGGAAGGTCACATTGGTTGCCCGTGACGTGCGTTGAGAAGCAGGCGCGCAGACGTCCGCCGGAAATGAACGTATGAAGCGGGGAGGCAGCACGGGATGCGGATGGCGAGGACGCCGAGCCATGCGAGACATGTCGGAGTCGTTGTGCGGGGTTGACGCCGAGTCGGTTTGGCAGGAGGGCGTCCGGCGCAATGATTGACCATAGGATGGAGAAGTGTATCCGACGGGAGTCGGAAGTGGGAAGCGCGGTGACCGGTACGAGATCCATTCGATGCATGGAGGATACGAAGGCGTTTGGTAGTGGTCGATGGATGGCATGCGTGGGAGGATGGCGTGCGGATGTCAAGAAGGTAGAGCGCAAGATCAGTCCAAGCACACCGAGATGATATCAGGTGCACGCACGAATTATAGAGTTTCACCTTCGCTTCGACAATCTGTTGCCTGTAGCTCTTCAGTTCAGCTCGCAGGGTCGCGGGAATCTGGATCGCCAGCTAGACATTTGCATTACGAGAATGAGCAATCTTAGAGAACTAAAGCAACTGTGTTCACCACAATGCACCTGCTGTCTGACACGCTCTTCGATCACATTCTTCACACAAGCAGCGACGATCTCGTCCACGCGAGGACGGAGCATCTCGCGGAAATGCGCCTTCACCTGCTCTTGCAAGCGCTCTTCCACGTCTTGCATGCGCGCTTCCTGAATCTCGTGTTGCTGGAGAAGCTCGCCTTGGACCTCTTTGATCTGCAACGGTGCTCAGTTGCTGACATGGGTTCCATGCTGGACTACATACCTGGTACAAGGCGTCTACTGCAGGGCCAAGCGAGGCCACTCGCAGAGTCTGCTGACCCAAGACCTCGAAGGTATTCTCAAGAGCACCCAATGTGCTGTGCATCGTCCTCAAGAGGTCTGAAACAGCGGTGGCCGTGGGATTGCGCTCCTGCGCAGATGAACTCGCGTACGCGGATGTGGACGCGCCCGTCGCGTCCGTGCTGGAAGGGACGCCATCGGTGTCATGCTTACCCAGCTTGCTCTTGCCCTCCCCATTGGGATGGGATGAGCCCGGGAAAATGCGAGAGAGCGTGGCTCTACTCAGCTTGGGGCTTTCTGGCGGTGATGGAGGATGCGGGCCAGCCGGAGTCGACTGCTGGTGATTGTCAATGGTTCATCAACAGTGACGAACCAGGGCAGCTGTACAGTAGGAGCAATCCTCAGGAAACTGATTACATACCTCGATCTTGCCACCGCCCAATGGGCTACTTGTATCGGTATTGGATTGACCATTGCTGGCCTTGGATGATCTCCCAGCCTGATTTTCCCTTGCCATATCGCTAGATCGAGCTCGAGAACAAAGGAGGTCGACGATGAAATGAGAGGACAATCCAAACGCTATCGCAACGAGAATCAAGTTATAACCAGAGGCTCAGCCGCCTCTAGCTGGACGATCGATGGGGAAGATAAGACAGGCCCAATACTATCGGAGCATAAGCTTCCTTCCTTTAGCTCCTGCGGCAGCAGTGAAGCACGAGCGTGTGCTGCGGTAGATGAACCGTAAGTCTCGGCGGGCCCTCGACGACGTCGATTACGTGTGAACCTGGGAGAAGGACTTCGACTGCTTCCTCTGTGAGCAGCAAGGGCGGCGAAACTACCCCGGAGCGCACCAAATGGTATGGCGACTACGCAGATGGAACCATCGCATACAACGATAGGCTCGTGTTGTTTCCAACTGTACATGCGCTAGGCATAACTGCACGGCTATCGGACAATGAGGCCTGAGAGGCGGGTGGTCACATTTACTACGTACACGGGGTCAGCGTACGTTACCAGAACGTTGGATGCTTCCCGAGATACTTGCACGGCCGCGCTGTCAAAGTGGTGAGATGAATTTGGGTTGGTAATGTCATGGGAGAATGCAGACCCACCGGTTGCCTTGTGCCGTTACGGCCACCAACTCCGAGTCTGTTTGGCATTTGTACGCAACCTGCACCCCAACGCTATGGGCGGCCGAAATACATCTTCAAGAGGAGAGCGGCGATGGCTGTAGCACTCTGTCGCCGCACGCTATGCAGCCGACCGTTTGCAGGAAGACACAAGAAGATGGAGGTATCATGTAGGCCAACGAAAGCTCGCTCAAGCGCGCGTCATCGGCCCAGCGGCAAGAGTCCCCGCCGGCATGGCCACAACGAAAGTTGGGTTTGACCGCAGAAGGGACACATCATAACAATCATTCATCGTCAGAGACTAACTGACATGATGTGGTCGTACGGAGTAATAGTATGTAGGAAGTAAGTAGCCAGTGACTGTCACATCGGGTCTTTCCTTAGCTTCGACGGCCTATCTTATGCATCTGTCGTTGGGTTGATAGCACATTTGAAGAGTTGTTCGGATGTATTCTGACATCTCAAGTACTGGGACGACACGCGAATGGACTCGCTGTCAACGACAATAGGCCTATATCAGAAGTATACAGAAGTGCATTGACAGACTCGGTCGAAGGGTATAAAGACAGAGCTACGACAGTCGGAGCAGGCACATTTCTCCATGGCTTGCGCTCAATCGTCATGATCACACAGCTTAGAGACGTTGTGACCATGTCATCGACAGTATGGGAGGTATGCTGATGGCGCTGGTTCCTCATCACCGTGACCTGAGTCAGGTGAACCGCCTTCATCTCAAAGGTCGCTATTACTCTTGTTGCCCTGGATGACCGACCGGTGACAGCAAGAGTCTACATTGCATAAGTATATCGATGTTTCGAGGTGAAATGGAACAACTGCGGCCTCGCTGGGCCTTTCCTGGGAGGATTGGTGACACTCACGTCTCAGTTGCCAGCAGCGAATGAAAGAGTCCGGGCATAGGGTCTTCGTGCGCCTGATTCTAACATGGCACGTATGCCCTCCGGTTGAAACAAACAGCGCATACCTTCAACACTGTACGTTCTTGCACGGCGATGCGTCTGCTATACTGGTTTTCTGTGGTCATGAATGAAGAGACGACGGGCCTGAGAACAGTACCGGACTTCATGCCAGAGTGGCAAGCTGCACAGCTCTAATGGATACGCCATGAAGATTGTTCAAGAGGCCCCCTCTTGACAACGTCGCCATAGAAGGAAGCCGAGTCGTGACTCACGCGTTCAGAATGGAAGAGGTGGCAGTCACGTCTCTGGCCCACATGAGATCCCGTAGCGGGTTCGATGAGGCTATGTACATCTGCAGATGCTGTGGAGGTGGTGGAAAATGAACAAACGGTAGATGTCAGACACTGTCTTGGGACGTCCGCAATCTGGGAACGAGGGAGAAGCTGTGGGCGCTGCCATGGCGATACTATGAGGATCGTGGTTGGCGAGTAGTCTTTAACAGCTGCTGGTTCTTAAGCAAATACACCGGCGGGGGGATCTGGCACTGGACTGATGCGATGGGTCCTAGGGCGGCACCGATTAACGCTAACTTGGCGGGTCGGGACGGACATAGTGGATAGACGCCCCCATTCGCACAGCCTACTCGCAGCTAAATGGCACTGCAGGCGACCCATCTCCGTGTCCGATGCTACGCAGCTTGGTTCCCTCCTGTGCAACAGAGCAAGTGCCGCGTTCGACATGACAGGCACAGGAATGCATCCTCCTAATGAAGCGAAGGCCGAGGCGATCTCAGGAGACTGTAGTGTATATAATTATGTACGTTCAGTCTCTGGTGGCCCCATCAGCTCCCCCAACATCTACATCTACACCTGCTACCGCCCCAGACATGACTACGGACCTCATCACATACCGTCTGGGCGCGAAAAATTACTGCTACATACCGCCTCCGAAAACCTATGAGGTGCGCTGTCACCGGTCCACTACCGAGCTAAAGACTTACCTAGCACAATACTCAGGAGGCCCTCAGTGCAGCGAAGACGAACTACAAGGAACTCAAGCACGTTGACGAGGACTGCATTACCTTCTGCGTGATTGCCACCGTCGCCGGTGTGAAGCAGCATATCCGAGTCAGCCCGGCTTCATGGCCCATCGTGGTCTCGAAGCTTCACCGTTACGAAGTCCTCGACATCGTGCTTCAATTTGACGATGACGACACTATCCCGGACATCATTGTGCACTCCGCGAAGGACGTGGAGAGTCTACCCACCTACGAGGACATCCGGGAGAAGACCGGGATGGATGACTTCCTTGCTCCCTCTTGCCACTCGTCCCCGCAGGTGAAATCGATACCCCTCGAGACCATCCGTGCCGTCCAGAGATATCCTCGACGAACGCCGTCCCCAGCACGGTCGTCTCACTCCAAGAGTTCCAGCCCCTCCTCATCCTTGACGGACCTTGCCAAGAGCCTTTTCGGTAGAAGCCCCTCCCCGCAGTGAATCGCTACGTGTGAACGTCGTGCTTCGTACCTCGACGCCATGGACACAAGCTGCGCATAACATACCATTCATCTGTATTGCTACTGTCCTCGCGCGATTGTATCACTATACGCTACCGTTACCGGAGGCGCTCCATCATCGACTCTGTTTTGCGTTCATGCCAAGAAACCTACTAACGCGCTATGGCTTTCGTATCACGAAAGGACCTATACCTAATGTACATACATAGTTTGAATCTAGACAGGACGTGGATCACTACTGTAGAAGTCTGAAATAGACAGATACGAGAAGTTATCTTGCGGATCTGCCCCGAATGAGTGAAAACCTCTGCGCCCAGTTCGAACGAACACGGAATAAGAAGCATTGACGCGCCAAATATTACACCTCACGGTACAGCGCAGTAATTCGCTCGGGCTGTGCGGGAAGCCCGTCGGCCTCTTATATTCCTGTGCCGTTCTACTCCTCAGGCTATATGCCGGGGCCGACCTCACTGAATACTCTTCTGCGGCTCAGTACTGGATGCCGGGAACGGCCGCGCGGTAGACTCTTCGTGCAGCAGCAAGGCACGTACGGCCACACCCGTTCAATTCAGTTGGGGTACAGCCTACCACTATATGTGGCGCACAAGTCACGTACATGATCCACCGCATAGCTGCTCATTTTGCTTCCCGGGTTCATCTTGATCAACTTGACCACACAACCCTGATGCTTCCTTCCTAGCAACACCATCCTCGTGCCTGTGTAAGAAGGTCACAGCGGAAGGCGGGAAGCAAAAGTAGGACAGCCGTGGCACCACAAGCTCCCAGGCCGAACGCCGATGCATATATAACCGGAGAGCGCCTCGCACAGGCCTTCTCCAGCGTCTCCCGGACGCTGCGAGCCTTGCGTTACCTTTCGAGCAAGCAACAAAGCATGGAAAGTGGCTCGCAACAGTGAGGCGCAAGGGCGAATGGTGCTTCTGGTCCAATACACAGGTATAGACGAGAATCACGCTGCCCAACACCCGTAGATACTAGTGAATGAAGCGCTTGACCTGGGGAGGCGGTGACACCGACGCAGCGTCGACACGTGGGTCAAAGCCCGGATCCACCCCTATGCGGCAACATGGAGCGGTGTCCGATGTACAAGGAAGCACCAATTATCTCAAAGAGCCCTGTCAAAGGACAGGACCCTCAACGTTCAACGTGTGTTCATCCCTTGACTCGGGATGCCTTCGGTGGCAAGCTCCGAGACTAATAACAGGAGATGCCTAACCTCGTGGCAACAGCGGTCATCTTGAGATACCTCCCTAGAGACACCTTCTGGGCCATACAGCAACTTCACAAGGAGGACTAACAACAGTCTGGCTGGTCGCAGCCTGCGACTCGAAGCTTCCGCACGGTCTAAATTTGTGGGTCGAAGAACGAGGACAGGCACCGGGATGTTCCCTCAGTGAGTCGCGCCGACAACCTCGCGGTGCATTGCCTCAAGAACGTTAAGTCATAGACATAAACTGCGTAGGTTAACAGTTGATGTGCCAGTACCTGGGCTAGGACCACAGGCGGTGCTAACATGCAGTATATCAGCCGAGTAACTGTTGCGGCGGTGGACGCACCCAGAATTTGTCCGGCAGCAGCGGAAGATGCTTGCCACCCATGTACGACATCTCAATCACAGGGCTGCATACGAGATACTTTTCAGGTTGCCTGATATAGCGAAGCGGTTGGAATGACACCAAGTCATAGGGCAGCAGGGTCCCTGCACACATGCTTGACACTGCTACACAGCACTCAGTGGTACTATCTATGAGAAACTGAGATGGGTCAAGGCGCCGACCCGTCCATGTTTGCAAAGCACTCACCTACGAGTGCCGTCAATCGCTCACTTCGTCTGGCATCGCCCTATTATCGATGGCCACTGTTTACCCTAGTATACTACTACGTCCTCTGATGCCGCGTCAGAGCCTTGCTCCGGAACGTTGCGTTGTATTGCAGCAGATTGTTGATGTCTCGGACCCAGTCATCCTCCTTCCCCGGACCTGCGCCTTCTCCGGCCTCTCGCATCTCGTCCGGCTCCGTAATCGAGGACCGATTGATGCAAGGTATGGGGTGTAGCGAGGCGCGCACGGTGACGGACTCGCCTGGATTCAAAACATGCGAAGTCTGGCCGTCCATGGAGAGCCCCGCCGGTGCGCGCGAGCGTTTGCTGATCTAGGGTGCCAAAGATGCGTGGCGGGTGCAAATGGCCAACGACGGATTGATGCTCAGAAGGGGAGGTATGGGCTAGTGTGCCAAATGAGCAGCTCACCTTCAACGTGATAGACGAGGAAGAAGGGAACACAAGCGGGCGAAACGACAGGCTTCGTGGACAAATCGGAGTGAGCACGATGGCGCTCAGGGACGGATGCACGATTGGCCCTCCCGCTGAGAGCGAGTACGCCGTTGACCCCGTTGGGGTCGATACAATCAGACCGTCTGACTGGGACATAGGCGGAGATGAGCGGCGTCTCGCATGAATGTTTCACAAATATTTCACGCACCACAGCCTCCGTGAGGTGCTGACCGTCCACGAACACGTCGATGGTGTTCAAATGGGGGCTGGACCCCCGGTGGAGTGCGATCTCATTCATGACTTGCCAGTCTAACTTGAAGAAGTCGTTGAGTTTCCTACATAGAATTGCTGTCTTCGGAAATGCAGATGCGCACCTTCCGCTTTGGTATCAATCCGGTCGCCGCCAGAGTCCTTGAACGTGCATGACAATCGCATTCGATGTAGGACAGTGATACGTCCGGCGAAGGCGCTGTCTATGGCCTTCGTGTAGTCGTCGATGTCTATATAACGACCTGTCAATCGCGAATGAAGCTCACTGAGAAGACGGGGTGCACGCACGGAACGGAAGCAAGAAACCCAGGGTGCCCATTGAGAAGCTCAGCACCGGTGGCACAGCCCCAACCTTGAACAGCGAAGACGCATGGAGTATAGTTCCATCACCTCCAAGAGTAATTACTAGATCTATTTTAGCCGCATCCGGTCCTATATCCGTCGCACGGAGTGAATACACTGGGACGATATCTTCTCCGGACTGACCCACCTGGCTTCCACACTTTCACGCCTTGCGGTATGTCTGGTCTATTTTCATGGTAGATCTGCACATCAGGATAGTTTTTCCTTATGTACCTACACGCATTCTCAGAAAGGTCGGAAGAGTCTGCTGAAGCGTGTATCAAACTCACGATAACAGGGTGTCGATAGCGTCGACGACAGGCTTAGTCCGGAGCTTGTTGACTATGAGGACGGATTTTGGGGAGATGCCATTGGTAACGCGTCTACCTTGAAAATAATTCAAGAGGTGCATGCAGAGGGACATGGAAGCGAGATTAAGGAACGAAGCTTCAGTCAATGGGGTACGAAGCAGCACCAGGTGCACACGCGATCAAGTACGTGACGACACTGAAGCTCGTCCACTCCATTAGCAGGCGGAATGGATACGTACGTCGCGTATGACCTTGTCCTATGCGCAGCATTCCATCTTCGCGCGGCAAGTCCGGTCGGTGGCAAGGGTAACCGTTGAAATGTGGCGTGGTGGATGTACGGAGCACTCGCCAGCCGGGACGAAGAGAGTTTGCAAACAGCACGTGCAGAGGAGAGTCGTAGCATAGAACACCACATGTCCTTTGATGTGGTGAACTGGTTTGAAGGAGAGTTGAGGCCTCAAGACAAGTACCAAGTACAGACGAAGGTCCAAGTTGGGTTTCGTGTTATCAGAATTCCAAAGGGGCGAGGCGGTGATGAAGAGCAGTAAAGTCCGTAGGCCTTAGTACGCTGATAGAACGAGATGGACGTGGAAGGGGAGATTGTCCATGTGTACTACTGGAAGGAGGATGCGAGGCCGGAATGCGAGGCCGGACCAAGTGTCGTCAAACGCAGGCGCCTATACCGGCAGACGCCGCGTTCCAAGTACTTCGCCAGATTGCCTACCAGGTACAATACACTGCACTCCATGTTTGGACTGCTCCCTGCCCATAACGCTTGTGCGAGACTCTGAGGCCCTGCTTCATTCCTACAGGCTGTTGCCGTTCATGACTGGAGTAACACCTCGCGATGAAAGCGCCATGGAGCTAACCAACGATTCAAAGAGACGCAATCTAGCTGCCCAAAACAGCGCCGCGCGAGTCGTATGGAACCCGCCGCCACTACTCATGCAACGCTCGCAGCACGACGCTCCTTCGCGATGGGCTGGTCCGGCTGTATGTCAAGCTTGTGGGAATCAACAAGCCATCGCTTGACGCCGTCGCTCCATTCGTCCCGCATCCAGGTATGGCCCGTAAGTCCAGACAACATACCGGAGCTTTTCGACAAGTAGGCATTGATGCCGGTACTAGGCACACGAAGGTGGAAGATACTACCCTGCGTAGTCGTGAGTCGTTCGGTTGATGCTTGGCCGGTTGTCCCACTTTGTTGACGATTATTGGGGTATCTGTTCTAAGGACACGAGTTAGATGTCGCCGCAAACCAACTTATCGCCCTCACGAGCAGCACGGAACACGACCATGTATCACAAATCGCAACGTATGCCCATTGCGTTCAGCATTCGTTTCTAGGAATCTTACGGAGCAGACCTTGGTCTGTACAAGCCCGTGTCTACGTACAACGTACGGGCCACCGACCACGAAGTCGGCTCTGTCCCGACACATTTAGTGGAAGACTTTTCCCGTGAATTGAGCAGTCTGATGAGCCGCATACTGCTGTCGTTATCAGGTACCTCAGTGGCCTCTCCCATAAGTCTGTCAAGAAGGACGAGCTGGTGAGCCGATCGAACAAGAGTCTTTGCGGCCAGCTCCACGGTGTCGCGCACTGCGAGGCCAACCACGATCTGGAGACTCCTCGTGGATGACGAGCCGATTGAGGTGTACGCCGCGTTGGTGTATAGACGCATATTCTTGTCATCAAAGGTGAGTGCGCGTGCCCGCCTCTTATCAATTATGTCCAACGTCCGTATCTTCAAGTTTGAGTCCATTTGAAACATGACCTGTTCCCCCGCTTTGATCATCGGGTTAAGTAGAGGGTTGGCTCGTGGAGGTACACACGGCGTATTTGGTGGACGGCGTAGTCTTCGCGCCACAATATATCATCAGACGCCTGAGCGGCGAGTTCGACCACATTGAGCACGAGCTGACGCTGGCGACGGGATTCATAGTCACTCGAAACAGGGACAGAGGTTGCTCGAGTCATACGCGAGGGTCCCCCCGGCTCTGTCCCTCGCGATTCCCCTCATCCGTTCCCTAAGCCTATGTTCTGCTCTCCGTCGCCGTCTGACATCTACCTCACTGAACGACTCGCTTCTTTCATAGGAACATCTTGTGCACTTGTCACTGACGAGAAGGACGTTCATGTCGACTTCTTCAAGCCGTACTGCTTAGATGCATTCCTCGCGAAGCTGGGTCTAGCAACGAACGTCCTCTGGAGTAGCATGACCTGGCCAAAGTCCGAGATCTTCGTCATGGCACTACGCGACATCGGTCTCGCGACGTACCTCCATGAGCGTCTCAGAACGAGAGAGCAGTCTGTTAGAGGCTTAGAGCTGAACATGGTGCCATAACAAATAAAATAGACTCTTTCTGCAAGCGGTTCAGAACCAGACCAAATCTTGGTGATCTCTGAACCAGTGGGGCTGTGGGGCTGTGGGACATGGCCTTTACCGCCCCAATAGGCGTCTAAGAAAACCTTTGTCTACAGTAGGCAAGAATTCAAAGAATAAAACTCCCATACCAGTTTACCGCCTGAAAGAAATTTGACCCATGCTTAAAAAGTGCTAAGAAGAGCCTACCCAATGTAGAAGTCAAGGGACGACCATTATAGCACATGCGAGACGTTGCGGAGCACTAAGCGCGAAGGCCCCACTGATTCTGAACCTGGAGTGCTTACAAATTGAACCACCCCGCTGATTCTGAATCGCCTGCAGAAAGAGTCTAATCACCCTGATTCTGAACAGACTGCAAACAGAGGCTACTGTGGATTTAAAAAGTGTTTATAATCCCACAGGGGACGACGCCAGCAGGACTCGAACCTGCGCTCCCAAAGGGAAACAGATAATCGGATATTCTAATCTGTCGCCGTAACCACTTGGCTATAGCGCCGTAATAAAGAGATTTATGTGGACATTCAGGCGCAGAGCCTGTCCTGCGTTTGAACTCTCCTATATAAGTCAGAAAACCCGTACATTGGCCGGTATGGCCTAAGAGGGTTTCTACTGTAGTATGCTTAATTTAATGACCATTCAGAAAGCAGATTTAGCTAGGCCCAGTAGGTAGGCCACCACCACATTCAAACAGGTCACCACGCCGCAGGACTTTGTCTAATACAGTGGATCCGTTTCGTACGACTCATCATAACGGGATTACTCGCATGAGGCATCTGGGGTCGCCTGCAGAGTCGCTGAGCACGTTGAGCACGCCGAGCACGCCGGACACGCATGTTCTTACTGGAGCCAACGCATCCGTCGTTCATGAGGTAACAATAGATTTCTGTTTAGGTGATGGTACAACATGTCGTACAGACCACTGCCATAACGATACAAAGCACTGCCTACTCTTACGTGACCTCGATACGTTCACATACACCTCATGCCTCCGCGTCCGCTAGGAGAGCGAATAGCCCCTGCGTTTTTGAACTGTTCCCCGACCGCTTGGCAGACGATGTCGTGACAGCAGGAGGGGTGGGGACCCCCTTCGCCGCCTTCTTCGTCCTTCTCTGCGGCGGAAGTGCGTACGCATCCTCCAGTCCCCCAACGCAAGCCTGCCAAAGCTCGTCTCCAACGACGACCGAGACCCGTCCGCTCAGGAGGGCGTGACATCTCATCCCAGAAAACTGCCGAGCAGGTGTCGTGATCTTGGAAGAGAGAAGCAGCACTTGCGAAAGCTGTTCAATCGCGTCCAACGCGGCAGAAATCTGTGCAACTAGCTGGATGTGTCGCTCCGTGGGTACGATATGGTCCTTCCTCTCCTCGGCAACTTGATCAGCAAGCTGATTGGGGGCGGGGTCAGACTCCGGCGAGTATAACGAAGCCAAGACAGCTCTTGCTTCGACTTGTGTCCAACGCTCCAAGAATCGCTCCTTTACGCCAGGGCTGTCCAGAGACCGCTGGTGCATGGTGCGTACCGCCCACCGCAAGGCCACAACACCCACAAGTCGATCGTCGGGCAAGTGAGCGACAGCCGGTAGATCAGATGCGAGACCGCGTAGCAACAACGCTCGCCGCAACTCGTACGTCCAGATCTGGGGTGGAAGCACGACGCCCGTACGCGAATCCATAGGGGCGTCGAGCACCACTTCTCTGAGCATATCGCTCAAAGATGGAACAGTGACCTCCTCTGGGACGAGCCTCGTCCCGCGTCGCACATACTCCGTAACAAGTTTCGGGAGCTTCGCGTGTGAGGAGCCGCCATTGGAGGTCGACCCTGCCGAGGGCGGAGTTGCCTTCGCTGCACTGTCCTCATCTGCTCCTTCTTTGGAACCATCGAGTTGTTGAAGGGCTCCGCGCAAGCGAGCGAGGGCATTGGGTATCGGCTCGGCGTCAGAGTCATCCTCCTCGACAACATCGATGAGCTCATCCTCATCCGACTCCTCGTCTTCGTCTTCTCGTTCGGCCGGGTCAGGTTCGGGAGACATCGGCAAGCCAATACCAGCGTTCAAGATGGCATAGGTCCACAAACGGATCGGCCGCCCAACACTCCTCAGCACAGTCTCCTTGTCTGGGTCCTCGAGAAACATCCGCGGCCACATGGTTCCAGTTTGTGCCACATCAAGGAGGTGTGGGTCAAGTAGCCCCCGTCTGAACGCGCCCACATACCGCTCACGAACGACACCCACGGGGTTGTCACGCTCGGCCTGTTCCGACTTTCTTCCCTCCTCGTGAAGCGCTATCGCCGCATCCCTCTCCCGCGCCAGTCCAGAGAGTACAGCGAACAGGGGACAAACATCTTGGAGGTGCAGAGGGCAGACTCCGGACGCCCACCTGATCCCTCCGAACTCCTCCTGGCCCTGTTCCATGCCATCTTCGACCTCGACCCTCGGCACAGCATACTGTAAGGTCGCCTCAACGATTCTCTCCACGATGGCCTCCTTCTCGCCAGTTGCAAACGTATCTAGGGGGCGGATGAGTAGAGCCGTGACTGCCGCATCGATGAGCTCCATGACGCTCCCGATCGCCCGCTTGCCTCGCCTCTTTCCACCACCGGACCCATCGAACGCAGCAGCGAGAAGGCTCGAAAGCGTGGTAGAGACGCGCGAGATACGCTGCGCAAGGGTAAGCTGCCGTTCAAAAAAGAGTCGCTGGAGGTTCCCGCGTCCCTTCGAACGAATGTCCGCTGTAGTCGCGGGAGCTGGAGCTAAATCATCCGACGCAGGCGCACCGGTGAAGTCATTTCCCAACAAAGCACCGAGGAGCGGGAGGAGGGATACGGGGATGTCCAAATGCGTCGCGAGCGTCGTGGGACTGTACACTGTGAATGACAAGGCGAGCTGCCCTTGTGCAGCAGAGGGTAGATCTGGGGACAGACCGAGGGCACCCAAAGCGTCGGGAGGAAGGATACCTCTTCCAGCCCTCTGAGCCTGGCTAGCTTCGACCTGGCGTTTTTTCTTTCCCTTCCCTTTCCTTACCGTCCGGAATCCGTCCTCGTCTTCTCCAATAGAAGGGGCCTCCGAGTCTCCTGCGACCGAGACGTTCGACGAGTAGACGCTACCTTCGACGTCCCATGAGGTCCCATCAGCCGAAGCAGTAGTGAGCGTCCAGACCATTTCATCGAGAGGGATGTAGCCGCGGTAACCCTCCGCATTGAGTACGATGAAGTCAGAATCGCGCCCAGCGACATACGCGTCCAGTCTGGCTGCAAGCGCAACGGCGTACGGATCCCCTTCTTCGTCGGCAAAATGCAGGTAAAGTCGCCTCGCGCTCGGACTCTCCGACTGAGCTTGAGAGGTCAGGCTGAGAAGGGTATCGACACAAACGCTATAGGCGAGAGGGGGGAGCATCGCCGTCTCACGGAGAAAGCGGGGGGAAGAACGGGCTGTGGCGGAAGTGCGGAAGAAGAGAAGGCCGGACTGTATATTGGTCTGTGTTACTCGAGAAATGAGTGTGGGGAATTTGAGCGCAGGGTAAGGACCTACAGAAAGGAACGTTAGCATCGAGAGTAAGGAGCAATACTCGCGAATGCATATCGTGAGGGATGGGATCTCAAGTATGACGGGCAGGGGTGGTGTCGCACAGTACTAGTGACAAGACTACCGAAGCGGTAGAGAGGTCAGAAGAGAATCGGCGCTCACCGTCGAAGACGAAATGTAGCTCTAAGCCAATGTCTACCCAAGCACGGACTACATGCTCGACAAGTCGTGCAAGCTCCGGGTACTCCCCACCAAAAATCCAAGGAAGGTCGGCACAATACACAATCTCGTATATGAATCTAAGGAGCAGCAATATCACGGTGAATTCGGTACGGGTAGATGGGAAGAACTCACGACCAAGCATCGACCACTACCGGGATACGCTGGGGATCATTCGTCCGAATTAGTTGGACGGTGCGAGATAGAATGTGCTTGTTCTCGCGAAGGTAGGTGGTGAGGCCATGAACGCCCATATGTGCCAACAATTCATCGACGTCGGTGTGTGAGTCGAGACAAAACGAATATTGCTTGCTATCTCGCTCCTGTCCACCCGCGGAAGTCCCAAAATGGCAAGAAAAAACCGCATGATCAGAAAACATATGACGACAGTGGGATTCGAACCCACGCCCGTGAGGACCAGATAAGGAAGAGGGTTGAAATCCTCCTGATTCTGGCGGCTTAGACCGCTCGGCCATATCGCCATACTGAGTGCGTATACAGTTATATATTATATTGATACGGGGACACAATGTAAGCCAAGACAGCACGAGCTACTTATGTGTAGGCGAACAGTACTTACTATGCGAGCTATGTACCGAAGTTTATGCAAGCGGCCGACCCCAATGTTGATCCTGACCACCCAAGTACATGCATTCATCTTCCTAGGAAGATGACAGATGACCACACTGACCGATGAAGCCCAAACGTTTCTACTAGATTAGCGGAGCGATACCATAAATGAATGCATGCATTTCATCGTGACTCGTAATACATAGATACATAGTCTGAACTTCGTCGAGATCATCATACTCACACGGACGCGAATCTGGGAGAGGCCGGAGCGGCATGAACAGGAGAAAAAGGAGAGTTGTAGTGTAGACATACAGCCCAATTAACAGTAGTGGGTAAGCGTTTCTGGACAAAGAGCGAAGAAATCGGAGGGCGGGAGAGAGGAAGGAGGAAGGTCGAGGCATGTACGGCAAGTCAAGAATCGGAAAGCGTAAGCGACAGAGAATGAAACGTCAAACGAGAAGAGGGGAGAGAAAAGTCTATGATGAAACAGAAGTGGAGGATGGGGGCCCAGATCCCTGCGCTTGCGCCGCGTGCTTCAGCTGCTCTTGTCGTTGGAAGAGGAGCTCGGCCCACAGGGGATTTGGAGGGATCCGGCCAACGAGTGCCTTAAGTATGTTGACCCTAGATCGAACCGTTAACGTTCTGTCCGCGGGCGCAACGATGCAAAGACTCACCAGTCATCCTTCTCCTGCTCCGTATCCGCGACGAATGTGATGTGCTCGGAGCCGAACTTGAGTTGGAAGCCGTGTCTGCCGGCACCGAATGCGTCGTCGTCGTCATAGCTGTGCGCCGTTCCTCCCGACGCAGGGCTTTGTATGGGTTCCTTGCGACCGTCGTCGACTGCCGTTGCCTTCCGGAGATCTATGCTCGCGATAGCGCGCCTCGTCACGTCATTGTATGCGATGAGGCTGCACCCAATGATCCTCAGATGTCGACGGCGAAGGACCTGCATGCGAGATATCAGTCCAGTCCATTCAAGCGCCCACACAAACAGACAGCTCACGTTGCAGTCACCACCCAGTTGCGTCAACGTGCCCTGCATGTAGCAAGACTTGTGCCATCGCGTGTGCGTCAGCCCCCGATGACACTCCTCCAAGCTCTGTGGCAGCTGCTCAGGCGGAATACCCGGCAGCGGCGGCAACCTGAAGATATGCAGGACGATCTCGCCGACCTGCATGACCTGGACGGCCGTGCCCACTTGCGTCTTCTGGCCGATGAGCGGGAAGGTGGTCTCCATGAGCCGGGTATCGCAATGCGGCGCGATGTCCTTGAACGAGATGAACGCACGCGCGAGCGTCCCGTCCGGCTTGAGGTACCGCGCCAGGTTCTCCGGCAGTTTGAAGGTGGGAGCTGGCGCGTGTGGAGGAGGAGGAGGCGGCACTGGGGACGCAGCGCGTTGGGCGGTCTTTCCCTTCTTGGGGGAGCCGAACAGGAAGCTGCGCATGCCACCGCTCTTTGCGTGGTTACTGCCGCCCTTCGAAGCAGGCGGTGGAAGAGGCTGCGGTGGCGGCCGTGGTTGTGGAGGAGGCTGGCACGCCTTGAACTGTGCGACGACGTGAGGGTCTCTCTTGACCTTGATCGTCAACGTGAACTCAAGCTTGCTGTGTTCGATCCTGCAAACAAGCAGTCAGACCCGTTTCTCGCACCGGAGTAGAGAGACACTCACAGCTCGAACTCTTGGTCAATCGCGCAATCCTTGCCAAGAGCGGCATCCGGCGTGGTCACAAAGTGTATGCCGTTGTTCAAAGTACAAGTGATGACGGTGGGCTCCGCAGGCACCGGGACGTCGAGGTTCCTCAGACCAACAACTGAAGCAGTAGGGAGCAGGGAGTCAGTGTGCTTCGCCATCCGATGCACAGCGACAACACACACCTTTCACGAAGACCTTGCCGTGCGCCTTCCCGTTCTTCTGCTGCTCGCGAAGCTCCTTGAGCTGCTTCGCGTGCTCGTTCTGCGGTCCCGCGTGTCAGTCGTGCTGAGCGACAGACGGTGGCTGCCCGGGCACTCACCATATCCGACGGCCTCCGGATCGTGCGCCAGGCCTTTCCTGAGTTCGTCTCGCCATTCGCGTGCGGCGCGTCCGCGGACGCGTAGATCGTCTCCGAATGCTCCCGCACCTGGTACTTCTGCAAACGTCCACACACGTGCATCAGCATAACCGCTTTCTCCTAGCCAAGATTCATACGACTGCTCACGGCGCGCGTCCTGCCTTCGCGCTTCTTCAACTCCCGGTTGATTGTCGCAGCGAGGGGCGCGTCGTCGTCTTTCATCGGCGTTACATCCAACAGCCCGTCGTCCGCGGAGCTCTTCGCCCGTCGGTGGACCGCCGCTTGCGCAAGCGTCGACCGTCCGGCAACGCCGAGAGCAGACGCTGGACGCGGTGCGACGACGATCTCGGGCGCAGGCGAGCCCCTCTCGCTCTCTTCCTCGTACTCTGCCCGTCTCTGCTCGCGCTTCTTGGCGAGGATGAGCTGCTCGCGCGCACGCCGGGCGTCTTTCGGTGGGGGAGGCGGCGGCGGTGGAGAAGGATTCGCCGAGCGCGCTGAGGGAAGAGATTTCGGAACGGCAGACAGCGGAGTGGCGCGGTCGAGCCCCACGTCTATGTCCATGGCCATGCCATCTTCATCGCGGACGATATCCGGCAACGAGAACGTCGCGCCTCTGACTCCCTCGACCTTCACGCTCCCAAACGACTTCCCCTCCGCATTGCCCGGCTCTCCGCTCTCCTCCTCTGTAGACAAAACGGACGCCTCGGTACCCGCCGACACGGCGGACGAGTCCGCCCCCGCCCCGTGCCCTATATCCTCCATCAGCCGGTCCAGCGCGCTCACGTCTCCGAGGTGCACGCCCCCATGAACGCTCTCGCTCCTGCTGTGCCGCTTCGCCCGAGCCGCGATCCCGACGCCCAGGCCCGCGCTCACGCTCATCCCCTCCTCCCCCAGGCCGAACCCGTGCTCGAAGTCGAGCTCCAGGCCGGCAAACGCGCGTTTCGCGTCCATCTTCGCGTCGCCCCCTCCGGCCGCGCCGTCGACGATGTCGATCGTGTACGCGCGCTGGATGACGGAGGGAGACGGGCGTGGCGGGTCTATCGGCTGGGGCTCGGGGTCGACGGAGACGACGCCGTCGTGGGTGGGGTTCTGCCCGCGGGCCATCACTCTGGAGCTGCGGGGCGGCTCGTCCCCCGGCTCCGTCGCCCGTGAGACGTCTGCCTCGGCATCACTGCGGGCAGACTCCTCGACGACAGTAGGGACAGGGCTGCTGCCAACCGAGAGCACCTCCTCGCTCTTGCGGCGAAGCAGCCGCTCCTGGACCGCCTCGCGCGTGATCAGCGGGCTCGCCCGTCGGTGCGTGTTCCCAATGCTCCCCAAGCTCGACGTGCTCGACGGCTTGAACAGCTGGCGCGGGAATGGCGACCCAGAGCCCGACCGCGGCGAGTTCAGTCGCGACGCCGTCAGGCTCGGGGTTGTACGCGCTTCCAAGGACCGGTTGAGCGCGCGCTCGAAGGAACGATCCAGCGACCTGTCGAGGGGCGTACCAGAGCGCGACCGAGGAGACGAGTCGGCGACAGGAGCAAACACGTCTCCTTCCAACGCGGTGTCGGCAAGGAGGGAGGCGCTGTCGAGGTTCGTGAGCGACACCTCGGAATGCCCGATGGACAGGTTCGAGGGGTCTTCGAGGGAATCGTTGGAGCGGACCGAGCGGAGGGAGTGGAAGGACTCTTCGAGGCCCGGCGGAGGGTCTTCGTCCTTGATTTGAGGCTGTGAGTCTTCTGGCTGAGGCTCTGTATTTTGTGATCAGTACGCAACGTACGGTAGCAGGCGATAGAGGTCGATAGGATGGAAGACCCAAGCCACACTTTTACGAGCTGTGGAGACACGCGCCCGGAGAGAACAATCAAGACACTTACGTATACTGTGGGATGACGAACCTTCGTGGGGGGAGGCCTGGCGCGGAGGCCGAGGATGCTTGGCGGGAGATGGAGAGGGAGGAAGCAGTTCGACGTCCTCCTCGTCTTCTGATCGGGGAGGCGTGTGCGGACGGGCGGCCTGCAGGATCGAGTCGACGAGCCCCGTGATGCTGTCGTCGCCTGGCTGCAGACCGGACTCAAAGCTATCCTCCATCGACTGGTCCTCTTCCTGAGTGTCGTAGCTGAAGCCGTGGCTGTAGATGCCGTCGTCCAGGTACTCGTCCAGACCGTCTTCCTCTGCCGAGAACTCGAGGACGTCGCAGCGTTCGTCAAACGTGACTGTCTTGCGACGGTGGTGGCGCTGTTCGCCGACGCTGCGGGGACCGACTACCTTGCGCGAGCTCGACAGCACGCCACGGACAGGGGAGGGAACGGGAATGGCGGACTGAGGCAGCTCCCTCAGTTTCACCTTGGGCGGGACGAGAGGCGGGGGCGGGTCGGAGGAGGACTCTGAAGAGTGGCGAAAGGGGCTTTTGGTGACTGGCTCCTTCTGTAACAGGCCCTGGAAACCCTTGGATTGTCTTCGCTTGAACCCGAGTGGCTTCTCATTTTCCGCTTGGGAGTGCATAGAGTCTGGACGGGGACGCTTTTCGCCGCTGACCTTGCGGGGCGAGGCGAGTGCGTGGGGGATGAGGGTGCGAAAGGGGCTCTTGGTGACGAGATTGTTGTCGCGCACATGCTTGAAGGAGGTGGACGAGCGACGGGCGACCTGGACGTGACTTGCGGACTGGCGGGGGCCGGGGGACGGGTGCTTGTTGATGCGGAGCGGGGTCGTGGGGCGGGCGGGGTCTGGCTCGGGGGAATTGGACTGCAATCGCTCGCGGAGGGGATGCGCGGAGCTCATCGCACGAGGCGGCGGCGGGGACGGCACAGACGACGAGCAGAGTTGATTGTTTGGGGAGTCGTGAGAACAGCGCCGGCCGCGTCCGCCTTCCTTTGTTCAACAACGCGCCCGTCACATGATCGCGTCCCTGCCCCGCGCTCCCCACCGCCGCCCTCCTCTCCTTCGGCCACCGACGTCGGCGACCGATGTCGGGGCACAACGTCGCCATCCAACGCATCTCCAACGCCGTCTCTGCCCCCGCCTTCGACATCGCCGACGGAACCCTCCGCCGCCACGTCTACAATGACATCAAAGACAACGTGCTGCCCTTGGTCCCGTCCACCGCCACCCCGCCGCTCCCCGTCCTCGTCTACGCCGTCCACAACATCATCCAGCCCTCCTTTGTCCTCGGCCAGATTCCCGACCTCCTCTCCCTCCTCGCCCACATCGAGGTCTTTCGCCTCAACACAATAGAAAAAATCAACCGCATCCTCCGCAGAGACAAAACACTCCGCAGAGATCGCAGTCCGTCAGTTCGTCTGCTCGCCGACCATGACCGCGACGACCTCGAGCGCATCGTCTCACCGTCCCGCGTACAGGCCGCACGCAAGGTCTACCGCCAGATTGTCCACGGTTGTTCTCTCCTCGTACGTGTTTCCTTGTCCATTCAGACCGTTCATCCTCACTCTTTGTCCAGCATATCCACCACATATGGTGCACATCCCCCGGGGGTCCCTCGCCCCTCCACTACCTCATCCAGTACTTTCCCTACTTTGTCCAACGCGACCAAGATGCCGCCCCACAGTGCACTGCCGCCCTCAGCACCTACCCCTGGCACTACAACCTCTCCCGCCCCGAGCAGCGCGAGAATGAGGAGATCGGCGAGGTCGCCGCCAACTTCATCCTTGGCGCCTCCCAGTACCTCGACGACAAGGAAGGCTACTGCCGCGAGAACGGGCGCGTTTTTTCGCCACCTCTCGCTCGTCCTCCGGCTGACATCGATCAACAGATACGACGCAGATGAGCCGTTCGAGGCGATCTTTCCCCCGCCCCGCCAGGATGCGAACGTGAACGCGATCGACAAGTACATGAGTGTCGTCACCGGCGCAGCAGACACCCTGCAAGCCATCCTCGAGGACGCCGAAAGCTGACAGGTCGGCTGGCCCGCAAAGCCCCCTTTGGCCGTGATCGTGACCCACACTTGGATATGCCGACTCAGCTTGCGGATCTCATGGTGCGTGACACGGGTCCCAGCACGCCACCAGCGGCCGTGGTTCATTTACTTGCAGTGTGCTGCACGCCCGTTCTCTACGTCGCAAACTTGGTAGCTGCCCTCGGTGCACTCCGCAGATCACACTGCGGTGCGTAGCTGCTGTCAGTGCGATTCCGGACCGCTCTCTTTCGTTCCAGCTTGTAACGTAGCGTTGTTCCCATAGCTTTCCTAATCGCAGCATCGCGTTCCATACGCAAATGCTCGTAACCTGCTAGAAGAAACTCTCAAGCGGCGGCCTGGTCGCGCATATAGCAACGCGGCCAAGTGAACAGAGCGATATCCGCCTGATGTTCAGAGCACCCACGCTAGCAGCCACTTTCGGCTCTCGTTCGGAGCTGGTCTGGAGATCCACCATGCAGCTCTGCCTCCCCCCTCCTGTTGAGAAGAACTGTACTGTGTATGGAGCTCGTGCGCGGCATCTAGAACCTGTCCATGCGACTATACAACCCCGCTCCGCCCCCAATCATCCAGAAACTCGTCTGCGAGGACCGTTGCCCACCACTCCACTATGGCATGTCGGTATGAATTGCTATACGCGCGAACGGACGGGAACGTTCGACAACCTTGTACCCGTCGATACCTCATATTCGTATCTACACAGACCAAGGCTCTCCTTCCCGGACTCGCGACACGCGATTGCGCAGACGCCCTCCCACTCCTCGTCGGGAGACGGAACGCGGGGAAAGCGGCCGTCCCGGTGTAGCGCCCGCGTCGTGCGCTACTACTCTTCTCTCCTTTCGTACCTGATCGACTCCGTGCTTCGGGATTGTCTCTCCTCTATCTCTGCTTCTCTTATCTTACTTGTACCTGGCCCGAGTCTTCCCGAACCTTAGACTTACTATAGCGCCCGAAAATCCATATATAAGACAAGACTCTGTATGTACAACAATCTAGCGTTCAATCGAGACTCTCATAACCTGTCAGTACCTCGAGCGAACCTCTCCGATTCCCTCTCGTGATGCGCCACCTACCCCTTCGGGCCAGCGAGCGCGTCATATTTTTGACAGCTAATAGGCGTGTTCAATTCTTGTCGCTCGCTCATTTCTTCGCGCGCCTACCGGGCGCCTGCCCACCTGGATTTAAGGTCAGCTCAAGCGCCTGTAGCAAAGCGAGCAGAGGTGCGCAGGCAGCGGGTGCAGCGAGATCGACGGGATGGTCCTATGCTAGGTTTGTTATACCCAGAAAACCTGTCTGGAGAGTGGATGGATACATCGGGAGAGCGTTATAGACTCGTTGCTCGAGAATAATCGTACACAATGCGCCCAAATCCGAACCACATTCGGCACAACATACATACGGTTCACCTGGGGTTGCCGCTGTAAGCCTGATGGCAATTGGACCCAAAACCTTGCGGGACGACTTCGTGTCTCAAGTCATAGAGCTCTCTAGATACCAAATCGTCAAGTTTTCGCGGCGCTCCTTAATCCCAGCTCGCGACCCTCTGTTGCACCCGCCGCCTGCTCCTCTGCTTGCTGTGCTACAGGCGCTTGATCTGACCTTGAATCCAGGTAGGCAGGCGCCCGTTAAGCGCGCGACGAAATGAGCGAGCGACAAGAATTGAACATGCCTAGTCTCTCGACAACAACCATCTCACTCTCGTCTCTATCTCTCTCTCTCTTCCTCGTCGACTGGGCCTCCTCCGAGTCTGATCAACTCGGGACTCCTTTCGACGACCTATATCGCACGTTCCCGTTCTCTCTCTCCCTGTTAGCTAACCTATTATAAAAACCCAGACATGTCTATTAGATACAACCTCAGATGTCGCCCGCCGGGCGCGGAGGTTCTCTCGGCCGCTCAGCCTTCGGTACCAGGTGAGCTGCCCCTTACAGCAGTCACGGCTGACATACCTGCTACAGGTAGTCCCCTTACTGAGACTGAGTCCCCTACCGGTGGTGTCAGCCCCAGAACCGAGCGCGGTGTTCCCGCCTCGGGTTTCCAGTCCTCCGCTATTGTAGCCAGGCTGGTGACTGCAGATGCAGATGCCCCGAGGGCTTTAAACTCTCCCGTTTCTGACGCCGGCGAGGGCGTTCAGAAGTATCCAGTGACCGTCGAGGACGGCTCTGACGGCGACGGCGGCCCTTGGATTCCGGTCCAACGGCGCCGCCGTACTCGCAGTGCGGACGCCGCCCCGCCTGCTCGGGCTCCTGTCACTGTGCAGGACGACCCCGTACTCACTTCTCCTCAGCGGGCGGCCGTAGATACAGCCGCCGCGAGCCTTACTCCAGCGGAACGGGACCGCTATTCCCGCTGGATGGCAGCGGTTGAGACGACTCGTCCGTGTTCCCTCTCCCCCGAGCCTCGGGGCGAGGGTCCCTCTCGGGATAAGGGGAAGACTGTGGATGCATGGAATTGGGGTGCAGCTGGGATACCTGACGAAGAGCTGGACCCGGACGCACAGAGGCGCCAGCTACAACTGTATAGCAGTACACTGCACAATATATTTGACGGTTACAACACGGATGAACAGCGTGCTATGTTAGAGTACTGGGAGGTCCGCAAGCAAGGGCACGGGCCCTCAGAGCGTGAACCCACAGCTGTTACTACACCGGGTGGATCTACGCGGTCGGGCTCCTCGTACACTACGAGCCGTGCTTCGACCCCGTCCGAGGCAAGTGAGGTCGAGGAGGCCATAATGGCCGCTCCTCGTCGTTCTGAAAATCCAGAACGAGCTTGCACGTCTGAAAGAGGAAGCTGAGCAGCGTAAGGCCGCTTGTAAGAAGAAGAGGACCTCGCAGAAGGTCTGGAAGGCCAAGGAGACAGTCATCTCCCAGGGATCTGTAGTCGGTAGAAGGAGTCTCGGGCCCATTCACCGGGCCTCCTCCCTATGACCGGTAGCTCAGCTCGAGCCGGGCAGCTACCTGGAGCAAGTGTTCACGGGCATCACTGGTGGGGATCCGTCCGACGGCTCCAGCAGCTCGTCATCCGTGTCTTCTGATCCTTCGGAAGCAGGCAATACTAGCTCTGTCAAAGAGAGCAAGTCTGTTAGCTCACGCGGCACCTCGCGTAAGCACCGTAAGAAAAGGAAGAAGCACACCAAGAAGCCGGTGCTCAAACCTGAGCGACCAGAGAAGTACAACGGCGAAGCCAATGCACAGACCTTCCACAAGTTTATGTGTCAGTGTGTGGAGTTCATTCGAGGGTACACCGTGGACTCACGAATGCACGCCTCTACCATCTCGAATTTTTTGACCGGGAAAGCCTACACCTTTTGGGTGAATACAGTGTCTAACAATCCTACCGAATGGACCCTTGAGGACCTGTTCAAAGAGCTGTTCAACTACTGTTTTCCTGTTGATTACCACTTACAGATGCGGGAGAAACTGAGGAACATTTACCAGGGAGGCCGTAGTGTACGAGACTACGTCCACGAGCTAGAAAACCTGTTTTTGCTTGTGGGGTTCGTCTCGGAACGTGAACGAGTCGACAAGCTGTGGCTTGGATTGAATGAGTCAATTCAACGCGAACTGTGGAAGAAAGAACTCACCCCAACTATGTCTACCTGGTCGGAGGTTCGCGAGGCCGCTGAAATTATTGAGATCGCTGAAAAGGTCGGCAGAGGACGTTATTCCCGCCCAGGGAACGAACCTCGAGGGCGCAAGCGGGACAATCAAAGTTCCTCGTGCACCAGAAGCCAGCAGAAGGCGTACCCGCATCGTAACGATCGCAAGAATCATCAGAATGATCAGCGCCGCTCTCAGGGACATAACAGCGGAAGAACTCACCAAGCCAGGCCGAGCAAGGGCGAGAAATCGTCTGGGCGAGCTAAGCGATCCTCTCGCAACCAAAATGAGCCCCGGCTTTTGAGCCGAGAATGAGCTGAACTCCGAGAGCAGGGAAAATGCTTCCTATGCAAAGAAACTGGTCATTATGCTAATGCGTGCCCGAAAGCCAATTTAGTGAAGTCGGACAAGAAGGGGAAACCACCCGGACTTACCTCGTACAGTGTCGAAATCGGAGGCCACTCTCTGGCTGAACAACTCAGGGAGCTGGCCGCCACCACTGAGATGTCGGCTGGCATTGATTTGCACTATGTCGAGACCGCCTAGGACGACATGCCTGACTTGCAATCAATCAGTGACTCCTCAGAATCTGAAAATTCGGACTGGTCCGACACAGAGGGTTCTGTACTCACCGAGTGGGAAGACGAGGCTGACAGCCACGTTCCTGTCAGTTACTTCGATGATGAGGCGAACAGGAAAGTTCCTATCTTGAGTCCGGTCCAGAGAATCGATCCCGGTTTCGGACTTGAGCTACCACTCATTCGACACAGAGAGCGTCGCGTAGGCGACCTATACGCGGCTCATGCTGAGTACCTGTTGCAACTCAACGGGCCCTATTGTTGTCATGATGTGGATATCGACAAGGGAGGTAAACCCTCACCTCATGTGTATCGTACCTCGCAAGATTGGTACGTGATTTTTCACTGGAATATGGACGATGTGTTTGTAGAAACGTCCCAATTACGGGACCCCGCTTTCGATGTAGTGCGCTATTACCGGCAACGGGTAGTAGAACAGAAGTCTCCAGACCATCAAGCTTGTTTCCTCACTCGAGGAGAACCAGAGTACTGTCTCATGGGGGATGCACTCGCTCTGGAAGTCAAGCATATTCTTGAGGAATACCATCCGTGGCCGGAGGATCCTTTGAACGTGTTCTATCCACCCCGGCACATGGTGGTTCAGTATTATGACGACGTTACGGTGCGAGATATGTACCTCGAACGCACCTTGTCAATACCGGTCAAGTTCCTCTTGAACCCTAGGTTTGACCTGCTGGGCTACTTCGCTCGGCACGTCCGACGGCTTTTTGCGGCTCCGGCCTTTGAGCTTGATGATCTGGGAGGCAAGTTTCCAGTCCTGTTCACACGCAAACCGCGCC